TCTACCTGGCAATGAGTAAGCCTTGTGATGTCTCCTCAAAAACAGGAACAAACCCGTGAGCATGTCCAATCTCCATGAGGTCATTCTGTATCATGAAAAATAAAGTCCTTTTGGGCAAAGGGAGAAGACAGAGCTCTCCATCCATCATTGTGACAAAAAAAAGCAACACTGTGGGCTATGACTATGCCATAGTAATATTTGCCTTCTCTCTGCCAGCCAGGGAGGTCTGAAAACCTGCACAAATGGATAGTGATGGAATCTAAAGGAGAGAAAACAATTAAAATGTCCAATGGCCCCGGGTGCACCTCACAGCTGATTGGCCTCTCTCTGCGGAGTGCACGAGGTCAGCAGTGCGTGTGGTCTCAGAGGTCTCACATGAGCGGAAACTTTTATAGAGACATCCCCTGTCCATCCGTCCGTGTAGAATTAACCCATTTCCCAGTTAATTAAACGCGCGGACACTTCACCCATGAGTGCAGAACTATAAAACAAAAAACGTTCAGTGGTTTTGATGTGCATTTTCTTGGCATGAAGTCAACGAGGAACACAGACCCATTCGTTTTTGGATACCAGACCACAGGTGTAAAATTACGTGGCCATACAATAATGTAATTCAGATGTCATGAGGAGGCTCCAATTGAATTTCATAGAACATAATCGTCTCTTTTATTTTTTTTGCAATTTCAAAGTCATGATGCAAAAATACTGAAAATAATTTCTCAATGGACATAAATGAATGTAAAAAGGTCTGCAGGGATAAATGCATTTCAGGTTCACTCTGTTGATGTCTTCAAATAACACATAGAACAGGTGTCACAATTACACTACAGAAATTGATGCAACATTTCGAAAGGTTTGTCACTCACCTTGTCAATGTTGTGACTAAAAAGTATTACAGATGCAAATCTCAAAATTCAGTCTAAAAAGGGTGAATGTTTTCTCAATGACATGACTCAATAAACGTTTCCTCTCAACATAAGACAATTCACTGAAGTCGCTCTCAGCAGATAGGCTAGATAAACGCAGCGTGGAGATCCGTGCACCATCCAGTCTGTGATGCTTGGGTGAATTAATCCCAGTTTAAAAGTTGTAGTGGAGGCATGGAGACTACGATGTGACGAATACCGCTGCCTGGACAACTCTGATTAGATGCGTTCCTATCTCATTCTATATAGTATCTAGTTTCTCTATTTATGCGCCTGGGGCAGGGTCCAGTATAAAAACTTTTATACACATTTCTGAACAAATGCGCCCTCCTCTGGGCATTTATTAAGCATGGCACATTAGGCTTACAGAGAAGGCGCACTGTATCTCTACAGATCTCATACAAAGACTACCGTCCGATCCTAATTCCTCATAAGATACATACATTATAGATAGGTCTATATTTTCAGAGAAAAAGTATTAACTATTCTTAATCGAAAGTAATTATTATTCAGGCAAGTCTGCAAAGATATTAGAATAGACTAATGTTAATGTCTTTAGGCATATTTTGTAAACATGACTCTGTAGGCCCAGTATATAAATAGCCTATATAAAGCATGTTCGTCATAAAATAGCCTTTATTGCCTCTGAATGAAATATGATTTTTATTTGGATGAATATGGCTGTGGTCCAATTTCACATTTTAGTTAGAGTTCCTTCCACACGAGGGCGACCTCGAGTAGCGGTTCTTCCTCCAACCAGGTGTGCATGGACCAGCACAAGCAGCCACTGCAGCACGCGTGCGTGACAGAGACAGGAAGGGTTGGGCAGGTAAGATCTGACTGCCGATAAAACGATTAACAGTACTTGATTAAACACTACAACAACTTTTACTTTAACTGTTCGAATGTCTAGCCTAGTAAATAGTGAATAGTGATAGTGAAAGCAGGACATGGACAAGGACTAGCCTACTCAAGTCTGCCTTACCAGCGCCAGGCTTACTTTACAAATGCAACGTGGTATGATTTACAGTAGATTTTATAGTAGTAGTACTAGTAAACAAAGGCTACCGATTTGGTTTCACCAGTTTTAGTCCTTTGTAGGTCTGTCTTTAGTGCAGTTCAGTACATTTCCTGTGAATAGGCTACTATTACTGTAGGGGAGAGTGGGGTAAGTTGAGCCATTTTTTACATTCAGCATCACTCCATCAAGGGAAATATAGGAATCTTTCTAAGATATCTACATATATTTCAGGGTGTTGTGTATCCCTGAAAATATTCAGAATTCATGTAAACATTACAGTTTTGACCACAAAGTGGTCTCTTGGCACAACTTACTCCTGGTATGGAGTAAGTTGCCTCCCGAGTGGCCTCCCGAGTGCATCGCAGTGCTAGCTGTGCCACTAGAGATCCTGGTTTGAATCCAGGCTCTGTCGTAGCCGGCCGCGACCGGGAGACCCATGTGTTATGTGGGCAGCTTGTCTCTCCCTTTTCTGTTTCCCTTCCTCCTTGTTTTGTCCCCTCTTTGTCTGTTGTATCTGTATGTGTGTTTGTCCCCATTATGTGGGTGTGTCTGGAGTGGATCGGGGGGCGTGCTCAGGATCTGCCTCTCCTGTGCAGCTGTGGGTTGTTTCCAGTGATTCCTGCCTACGCAGCTGCTCCTATTCTCTCATCAACCTGCACTACTAATTCATGGGCATGGCTCTCCACCGGCGCCAGATCGTTGTTCTTACAAGAGCGGTAACTTGGCTCACCAGTAAAGTTATATTGTCTTTGTCTTCAGCCTGGCTTTTTACTCTCCTTAACCTGTTGTTTGTTTTGTCTTCAGTTCAGACATACCTCCCAACCTGCCTGCCTGCCTTCCTGCCTGCCTGCCTGCCTCAGCCTCTCCTTCCTCCGTAGCCGACTAGCCCACTCTGTTCCTTTTCTTCAGTTGTTTTTTGGACTAAGAGAAATATAACTTTTATTAAAATATTTTTGTTTCTTCCACTCCCTTAGTCGTGTTTTGTTTCTCTGAGTGCTGGGTTTAACCATAGCGTAACACCATGGGGCGGCGGCGTCCAGGGTAGGGGAGGGAATGGCTGGCAGGGATGTAGCTCAGTTGGTAGAGCATGGCGTTTGCAACGCCAGGGTTGTGGGTTCGATTCCCACGGGGGGTCAGTATGAAAAAAATTAATAATGTATGCACTCACTAACTGTAAGTCGCTCTGGATAAGAGCGTCTGCTAAATGACTAAAATGTAAAAAATGTATGGGGTAAGTTGAGCCGCGGGACAGGTTAAGTTAAGCTGCCTACAAATGCCTGTATGAGCTCCAGCACTTTTTTGAAATGATACAATGACTACGAGGTTAAAGTGCAGACTGTCCGCTTTAATTTTATGGTATTTTCATCCATATCGGTTGAACCGTTTAGAAATGACAGTACTTTTTATACAAAGTGAATATGTTCTGTGATATTGCATATCACCACAAGATGGTGTATTTCTCACTTTGGGCCCAATGTTGTTCAGTAAAAACCCACTGGGAGCTCTGTTGGCAAAAGACTGTCTGTAAGATATATACTTCTTGTTTACCCAGGTCCCGCAAAACATGAGTACATACAACAGCTGTTTAAGGTATGTTCAATTACTTGGCAAGTTTGATTAATTAGCTGAGCAAGGTGCACCTGTATGCACCTCCTCACATAGAAATGTATCATCTCCCGCTCTCAATCTTCCCTCCTTCTCCTCTTACTGTCTCTCTGTATCATTATTCCACCAACCATATAATGTTTATTGAACCTTTTTCCTATAACATTCCAGGCCCGCAGAGCTTTACTCTAAAATGTATATACACACACAGTGTTTAGAGCTTTCTCTATGTGGGCAGGAAAAACACCTGCCGGTACATACTATATAGATGAAGGATAAACAATTTGAGTAACAGGAAATATGAATTATTATGTGGATTATAATTAATGGACACTTTTGTTGTGGTTGATAACATTTTCGTAAGGAAAAATCGATTGTGAAATGGAAATTACAAACGTCAGAAGCCTTTTTAAACCTCAAATACACAACACGTTTTACACCCTACAACAGGGTGATCAAATGACATCTGTACAAGGAGAGAGGTTCCTCACTGTCTGGTCTGGCTGTCCAGTAATTACTCATATGGGAGCTCATTCCATCATAGATCAGTCTCTTCATTAAATCAGGAAATGACATTCCTATATATCCAACATCACAAAAACAAGACTACACCCCACAGCATGAAAGGCCAAATAAACATTGATGCAGTTTTAGCTCTATAAAAGTTACTGGTCGAACCCTAGGGGATATGGCTGAGGAAATAGTACTATAATGAAGTTGACTTACAAAAGCAACAATCTCATAACATTTACGAAATGCAGTATTCATTTATTTTATTACCTTTATTTTAGAAGGGAGTTCCATTGAGGCCAAGGTCTCTTTACAAGGGAGCCCTGCATATAAACAAGTCACTAATACAACATAATACAAATATACACAATTTCAAAACACACTCAAGAGAAACAGTCACATTCCTCAGCAAAGACGTCCCCAATCAACATGTTGAACTGCCCGAGAAGCACCAGTACATCTAGTTGTAGGGAACTCTGTAGATTGTTTGCACCCCATGTATGGAACAAATTAAAAGCAGATTTACCTAACTCTGTGGAGACCGAAGGAGTCTCCAGAGTTAGCCTCCCTGACACGGGGAATGGTAATTTTTACGTCTAAAGATGGACGTTTTTGTAAGAGCTTTATAAATAGAAAGACAGCAATGAATCGACCTACTGTACGTGACTTCAAAGAGGGCCAGCCTACCTTCTGGTATAGAATCCAGTGATGTACTGAACCTGTACTGAACCTGTCACCCATAATAAAGCCTAGTTCTAATGTGTAATACTCGCTATATGACATTATTATATTACTCTGGATTCCCATGATATTGCCACTTTTTGAGGAATGTATCCAAGGAAGCATTGTGTGATGCTAATCTCAGATTTATACTAGTTTCTTATGCCGTTTTCGTCCTCCCCTGACATATTCTGTGCAGCCCTTGCTATAACTCCACAATGAGCCTCCCTAAAAGGGTCTCTCTCTGGACCATGGTGGATGTGTTCGACGGGGTCAAGGAGAAGCACCCCTACCAAAAGAGTGTCCTCCAACTGGCCATCGTGAAGCATGAAATATCCAGTAACTATCTTCAGTAACTCCTCTACTTACCAAATGTTGTCTTAGTACAAAACAACCTAAGGTCATGTACAGCAGTCATCATTGATACACTGCTATGATCTAAAAAAAGAGTGAATATATGTGATATTTTATCCCTGGCCTACTCCATCCCTGTACTGTATGTATCGGATGCCTGCAGACAGTACACCACAAAATGACATGGAACATTAACTGCCTGCGATGATCTTCCCAATTACTGTTAATGGTACAGAACACAGAGCTCATTCACAGTGTCAATACTGTTTTAATGTTTCATCAGCAAATCCTTCACAGGTGCTGACCAAAAACATACAGTAAAAACAACTGTTGCATGACTAATAAAACCTTGTGTCCTAAGGCTTGGGTCCTGGGACTGTGGTTTGCCCACCGTGGTTTCTTGAGTTGGGGTCAAATGCATTTGAATTCAAGTCAATTTAGGAATTGAATTTGACACCGAAATCAAGTTCATCATGCAATTTATCCAATTTTCTATTTGAAATCCATGCACCCAGCCTGAATTGACAAGCATAATTTTGCCCCCAACTCTAGTAGCCTCCTTGCTCTGCCCCTCCCCAGGCCGAGCTCTGCTGATGATGGGTGAGCACCAGTTGGAGAGGATGGGGGTGGAGGGGGAGCATCTTCAGGAGATCCTACTGGACATTCTTCGCCTCAGGTTCCAGGAGGAATTGGAGAACCTCAACAACATCTTCTCTGCTGAGGGATTCTACAGTCTCCTCTTAAAGAGATAGTTAGACATTTAGGCAGTTAAGCCATTTTGTATTCTTACCAAGAGTCAAATGAACTCATGGATAAGGGAGAGTGGGGTAAGTTGAGCCAAAGGGGTATGTTGAGTCACCCTCGTTTCTAGGAAACCATACACAAAATGTATAATTTGACCAAAATGTAGGAAGAGGTTATCATTTCATGGAGTATGTGAAGGAAGAAACCACATGGAAAACGTGGTAAGCAAGATAGGTCCAAAAAACAGGTTTATCAACAAGTAAAATACATTTATTGTGTTAGGGGTTTCATGATACTTGTATCTAAACTAAAGTAGATCATTTTAAGGTTGTTCTATACATCAGTTGGGGTCTCTATAAGCTTCAATATGAGGTATGATCTTAACCCTAGCATGAAAGTGCATCCATGTATCTGTGTGAGCTAATATAGTCAAAATGTTTGGGGCCTCCCGAGTGGCGCAGTGGTCTAAGGCACTGCATCGCAGTGCTAGCTGTGCCACTAGAAGTCCAGGCTCTGTCGCAGCTGGCTGCGACCGGGAGACCCATGGGGCGGCACACAATTGGCCCAGTGTCGTCCAGGGTAGGATGATCTTGTCCCATCGTGGCGGGCCGGGCGCAGTGCACGTTGACTCGGTCGCTAGGTGTACGGTGTTTCCTCCGGCACATTGGTGCGGCCGGGTTAAGTGGGCACTGTGTCAAGAAGCAGTGCGGCTCGGTTGGGTTGTGTTTCGGAGGACGCACGACTCTCGACCTTCGCCTCTCCCGTGTCCGTACTGTAAGACTGTAACTACCAATTGGGGAGAAAAGGGGGTAAAATACCACCAAAAAATAAATGCAAATGTTTGCTTTGGGATAAATTGAGCAAATGGTGGTGCCAATGGCAAGTTGAGAAAATTGAAGTGTTTTCTTCCCAGGCGTAGAATATGGTTAAAATGGTTATAAGACAAACAAGCGATTGTGATTGTGTTGAATTGTGTTTGGGAAATAAAGATAGACATGGTTTTAAAAAGGTAGTGGTAATATTTCATTCAATACAGGCATTGTAGGCGGCTTAACCTAACCTGTCCCGCGGCTCAATTTACCCCATACCTGGGGTATGTTGTGCCAAGAGACCACTTTTTTAAAAACAAGCTATGTTTTCAAAACTGTAATGTTTACATGAATTCTGATTATTTCCAGGGATACAACACATCCTGAAATATATATACAGTATCTTTGTTAGAAAGAATACTATATATCCCTTGATGGAGTGATGCTGAATGTAAAAAATGTCTACTTACTCCACTCTCTACCATTTTTATGTCTGAGTGCAGTTTGAAGGAAGTTGAAGGTCGTTTCTAGAGTCTTTGCTAAGTAGCGTTAGCACAATGCACGCTCTACTGGAGCAGCTAGCATGAGTTCATCTGACTCTGGGTAAGTAGAAAAAAAAGGTTTCATTGCCAAAATGCCGAACTATCCCTTTAAACTGTATCAGGAATTCAGTTGTAGCATTTATCAACGATGAAGAAGTAACTACTGTATTAACTAAAACTGCATCATAACGGGACAGACATCTACTGTGTCCTCTTAGATTGCATCAAAAATGTACTTGTAGCCTATATCAGTTGTCTCATAGAAACTCACAGTGTAAATACTGTGAGAGAGTCATACAAGGTTCCATCATCAGCCAACATGATTGACAGACATGTATTTCATCAAGAGGGTTAGCTTAGAGATACATATCCCCTGCCAAGAATAGATTGACATTGAAAGAGAAGAGAATGCCTCTGATGTACTATTCAACAGAATTGAAAAGAAAAGACAGAACAAGTTACGTTGTTTTGCATGGATACATAAAATAAGTTCAAGTTCAATAGTATAGATAAAATAAGTTCACCATGGTTTTTGTTCACAGTGGGGTATGCTTGCATTTAAAATGTATTTTTAACCAAAGGTTTCTTTAGCTCTTTCTCTTTTGAGTGGTTCTCTTCATGACTAGGAGAAGATGTCTTTGATATTCTTATTTTCCCCATCTACAGTGTGGAGGTCTAGAGAAGACAAAAACATTTGCTTTCAGGAATCATTGACCTGAAGAAAAAAGGCCAGATTGGTTTTGGCACAGTGGTATTTTCACGGACACTTCTGTGAATCAAGTCCTTGCCTCTCGCTCTGTGCTGCTCTTGCGGTCTTATTTTTCACAATACTCTACACTATGTGGCAGTTATTGCAGAGGTAGAATATAATTCCCCATTGAACAGGGGATACAGTGCATCCCTCATCTGGAGTAAATGTTGCCATCCCTTACTCAGCGCTGATTTGGCTAGCTAATGGCCTGTTATATTACTCTCAGGAGATCCTGTGTGAATTAGAATGGAGTAAGTAAATTAGTCTTGAGTTAAATGCAGGGGCACATGGCCATAATTTAGATAACATCCCAAATGCTGCTCCAAGCTATTAGGTCTTACACAGGGAAGGTAATGGGGATCATTTAATGGGAGGTTTCTGGCAGAGACAAAATGTCTAATGTATTTGCTTATAAGTTCGATGTTGGAGCAAAGATGTTGTGTCCTCTGACTGAAATTAAATTGGTGTCGTCATCTTTATTTATCTTTTGTTGCTCTAAACCTCATGTTTGTTTGTAAGATGTCAGCAGTGTTTTTCTGTCGATCACATACTGACACATCTTTGAATGGAACACATCTAGATATAGAAACCGTCCAGTATATCTATCCAGACAGAAATGTATGAGTTTCCTCTTTTATTTGGTCCCGAATCATATTCATATTACAGTAACAGTCCATTGTTTATTACATGTGCTTGCTTAAAGTGCACAGAGATACTGGTTTTGCATATTAAGGATGTTTTCAAGTGGAGCGAATAAAAGTGCTACGTTTGCAAATACTAAATCTGTTTATTTCAAATCCTTCTTGCTCAGAGCAATCCCTCCCCAGACTTAAATGTTCTGCCCATAGTATAATGATAACGTTTGTTTGCTCCAGTATTGAAGTATTTTGGTGCACCCCTAAGGTTCTCCATGTTTCACTAGACAGTAAATGCACATGAAAAACTGCAGGACTGTCAAATCTGAAGCTCATACCTTAGCGTATTATACAATGCAATCCAACTCCAAACCACTATAGCTTTATTATAGTGTAGGGTTTCCATAAACAGGAAGCGCTATGATTAGAAATCCATCCTAGAACTCTGGAAAGAAACAAGATGTTCAAGTAAAAAGAGACAGAAATGAAATGTGTGTGCTCTTATTTAGTGGAGGAACCTGACTTGACACCTCTTATTTGCTAATGAAGACCAAGTCTGATCCTTGTCCATTTGAAATAATTGTCTCCACTGATAATTATCTAAAAATCAATATGTAGAATCAGCCAGTGGCCTAAATCTTGAGAGACATACTGGTGCCCTTAGACACTGTCCATTTGTCTCTATTACACGACTCACAATACATCTTCCCACTTCCCCACAAACTTGTCAGACACCCCAAACTTGAAATCTCCTCGTTCTTTTCAAGGGCAGACAAAAAAATAGAGGATAGCCGAATGTAAGCAACAACATGTTGTTCAGTGAAAGTAACACCTCTAGGGGAATTTCAGATTTGTTTTTCTTCGTTCAGTAATCCAGCCCCTGAAAAGTGTTGCCCAGCCCTGACGTGCTGAATCTGATGTGCCCCATAAAAGGAGTGTTTCCATTTCCTCACCTTTCATGGACATTAGCAAGTGCTGAGCCTGTGGCTCTAGGGTCCCAGCGGGGGGTACACCAAATTAGACGGGCTGATTAATATCCCTCAGAGATGCATGGCATTTGATTTCTTCCATTCAGGGCAGTGGTGCATCAGGAAAGCGCTGACTCACATTAAATGTAAATATACCCCGGGGAGAGACACTAAATCATAGCTGACAGAAGGAGGGCTGCCCGAATATTCCAAAGGTTAGCAAATCATGCCGTCGACCCAAAGAGATGAAACTAAAAAATATGAAACTGGGCTGTGTATTGTTTGGCATGCAACAAATGAGGGGTTGAACAAAAAGTACTACGTGAAATTAACATGCATCAAGATACAGTGAGCTCCAAAAGTATTGGGACAGTGACAATTTTTGTGTTGTTTTGGGTCCGTACTCCAGCACTTTGGATTTGAAATGATACAATGAGGTTAAAGTGCAGAGTTCAGCTTTAATTTTAGGGTATTTTCATCCATATCGGGTGAACCGTTTAGAAATTACTGCACTTTTTGTACATAGTCCCCCCATTTTAGGGGACCAAAAGTATTGGGACACATTCACTTATATGTGTATTAAAGTAGTCAAACGTTTAGGATTTGGTCCCATATCCTAGCACACAATGATTACATCAAGCTTGTGACTCTACATACTTGTTGGATGCTATCGCTATTTGTTTTGGTTGTGTTTCGGATTATTTTGTGCCCAATAGAAATGAATGGCAAATAATGTATTGTGTCGTTTTGGAGTCACTTTAATTGTAAATAAGAATATAATATGTTAGACTTCTACATGAATGTAGATGCTACCATGATTACGGATAATCCTGAATGAATCGTGAATAATGATGAGTGAGAAAGTTTGAGGCATAAATATCATACCCACCCCCCACCCAAAATGATAACCTCCCATGTTATTGTAATAGTGAGAAGTTAGAATGACTTGGGGGTATGATATTTGTGCGTCTAACTTTCTCACGCATCATTATTCACGATTCATTCAGGATTATCCATAATCATGGTAGCATCCACATTAATGTAGAAGTGTTTAGAAACATATTCTATTCTTATTTACAACAAAGTGACTCCAAAATGACACAATACATTATTTACCATTCATTTCTATTGGGCACAAAATAATCTGAAACACAACCAAAACAAACAGCAAATGCTGAGTCACAAGCTTGATGTAATCATTGTGTGCTAGGAATATGGGACCAAATACAAAACCTTGACTACTTTAATACAAAAGTGAATTTGTCCCAATACTTTTTGTCCACTAAAATGGGAGGACTATGTA